TCCAACCAAGCAAGACCGGCGTCGTCCAATCAAGATTACCCTTTCGTCAGAAGAAGATGTGGTGTCCGTACTTCGTGCATCTAAGTCCCTGAAAACGACTGATCCTTGGAAAAATATTTTCATATATAGAGACCGTACTAAGATGCAAAATGAACTATACAAAAGCGTTAGAAATGAATTGCATGAGCGTTTGTCAAATGGGGAGCAAAACCTTATAATAAAATACAAAGATGGAATTCCAAACATAGTTCACTCGGAAAACTAAAGGCGCCCGGCAGATTACCATTTGCTCTAAACATATGTATATTACCAAAATGTGCGTGGCTTACGGTCAAAGATTGAATCTTTTTATACAAGTGTGTCGGATCGTTTTTATGATATTGTAATTATTGCAGAAACTTGACTGATTTCATCACTGTACAATTCAGAATTATTTCCTCCCTATTATAATGTGCTTCGTTGTGACAGAAATCTTAATACCACTGGACGTAAAACTGGTGGTGGTGTCTTAATAGCCCTAGCTGATATTATAACTTACAATGCCGTTGATATGTCCTTAGTAAGAGAGCTTGTACCCCTTATAGATATAATTATGTGTTGCTGTAGTGTTCATTCGTTTAGCTTTTTCATGATTGGTGTATACATACCACCGGATGTGTCTAGTATCGATCTAGAGGTGTTTCTTGAAGCACTGGGCGCTTTGATCTTGGATAAACCAGTTATAATTATTGGAGATTTTAACTTGTCTCAATACAGTACCAACTATGTAGTACGTAATGTGTTCTGCAGTAAATTAAACAGTTTTCTTGATTTTTCTCAAACAGTAAATCTTTCTCAGTATAACAATATCTTAAACTTCAACAATCGTTTACTTGACTGAGTTCTCTCCAATACTGATTTCAAAATCAGTTTTAATCTTGACCAACAATCATTTGTTCCACCTGATCCCCATCATCCTGCTCTGCATATTGAAACAGAATTCTTGATTTCTTCCAAACTCCCACGGTTTCCATGTGATAATAATAATCGACGTTATAATTTTCGGAAAGCCAATTACAATAAGTTATACAATGACCTTCTACATACTGATTGGTCCTTCCTTACAAATTTTGAAGATACCAATGTTGCACTTGATCACTTTTGTACCAAGTTGTATAGTATACTCGAGTCGTCTGTACCTAAATTTCTACCTAGCAAATCATCCTATCCTACGTGGTACAATAGACAGATCATTTCGGTTTTGAAACTCAAAAATTTCTATTGGAAAAAATGGAAAAAACATCTAATATGACTTTTTATAATGAATTTAAAAGGCTTAGATCCACTTCCAAACAAATAATAAAGACAGCATATCGTGAGTATTTAAACCAAATTGAAGAATCTGTGAAGAATAATCCTAAAGACTTCTGCAAATAAGTTCACTTACAAAAAGGTACGACACGTATACCTGGACGATTAGTTGATGAAGATAAACAATTTGAAGATCCACAAGAAATTGTCAACGCTTTTGCGGAAAGATTTTCTGATGTCTTTCGGCCAAAAACCATTATCGGAATATCTGATGTTATATCAAATAAGCTCTTGTTTGCTATACCGTCGGTGACTGAAGAGCAACTAATTGATATTATGTCAACCTTCTCAAACAAAATGACCGCTGGTGACGACCAAATACCAAGTTTTTTAGTACGTGACGCCAGATATATTCTTGCGAAGCCTCTATCAATTGTAATTAACTTAGTAATAATGTCATCCACATTTCTTGATAGATGGAAAAGAGCGCGAATCACACCTGTATTCAAAAAAGGAGATTCAACTAATCTAAAAAACTACAGACCGATTGCAATACTATCAAACTTTGCTAAACTTTGTGAAATAGTGTTGTATAAAACTATCTTTGTTAATGTCCAAAGTCATGTATCTGCATTCCAACATGGATTCTGGCCTGGTCGATCAACAGTTACTAATTTATGTACTTTGACACAATTTCTTTCTGAAGAATTAGATAACAACGGACAAGTGGATGTTATCTATACAGATTTTTCAAGTGCTTTTGACTCTATAAATCACACCATCTTGCTTCATAAATTAAGTTCTTTTGGATTTGCTCCTAGCTTCTTGAAACTCTTGGAGTTCTACTTAAGTGGTAGGTCCAACTACGTGACGTATAACGGTTACCATTCTTTCAATTTTGTAAGTACATCCGGTGTTCCTCAGGGCTCCAATCTTGGCCCTCTTCTGTTCGTTATTTTCATTGATGATTTGCTTCTTTCACTTAACTGTAAAGTTTTGGCATACGCTGACGATTTGAAGTTATACTGTCCCATTTCAAACAGTGATGATGTTAAAACCTTCCAAAGGAACATTGATACATTAGTAGATTGGTGCAACAAGTCCGAGTTGTTATTAAATGCAGATGAGTGTTATGTAATGACATTCAGTAGGAAAGTAAATGTGGTAAAATCAGACTATACCATCAACGGTCGGATTCTTTGCAAGAAGAATGAGGTAAAGGATCTTGGTGTTCTTTTTGATTCGCGCCTTTCATTTGTGGAGCACATCAGTAACATATCCACCTCAGCATCTAAAATGCTTGGATTTATATTTCGGGTATCAAAAACTTTTCAAGATCCTCTTCTGTTAAAAAGTCTGCATTTTGCGTATGTGGTAAGCAAGATGGAATATGCCTCTGTTGTCTGGTATCCTTACTATGTGATACATAATCTTGCTGTTGAAAAGGTACAGCGTCGCTTCTTGAAGTATCTTTCGTATAAGATTGATGGATTTTATCCTCAAAGAAATATAGACTACAATTACCTCCTTCAGAAACATGGATTTGTTAGTTTAAAGAATCGACGTGAAGAGAATAGTGCTCGTTTCATATCCAGATTGATAAGTGACAAGATAGATTGTCCTGAATTGTTGGAAAGAGTCAATTTTCATGTACCACGTGTTGCGTCTCGCTACATGGCCACGTTTCATCAACCAATTTCTAGAACGAATTTGCTAAGAAAGGCACCATTAGTTCATATGTGTAGTAATGCTGATAAACTGTATGATGATATTTTTTTTTCTCCCAAGTAAACTGTAATGTGTTCGTTTATTTAGTTTATAACAAGGATAACTTTTAATTGTGGGTATGATAATAATTTAGTTTGGGAACGAATATGATCTTATTTACATTTTTATTTTATTTTATTTTGCTACTAGTTAAGTTAATATTGTCCAGTAATTGGATTGTATCTGCTGGGCAATAAACATTAATATTATTATTATTAATATTATTAATATTATTATTAATGATAAGTCACAAGTAAAAACTCGTCATATTTTGCATATTTTAGGTATGATTTATTATGTAAATATAGAAATTGATGATTGATTCACGTAATGGGGATAAGTGCGTCGCTCGGAGTAGTCTTTTCGTCACGGGTGGAGGAGAATTGCGGCTGTCTGTGTGATCGACCGTAAGCGCAATTCGAAAGCCCTCTTAGTTCTCTCGTCTCGGGTGGAAAGAAATTGCGTCTCCCTGTGTGATCCGCATGCCTATTTATTAATATAGGGTGTTCCTTTTTAAAGTTAAACCTTTGTAACAAATAAACATACTTTTAGTACATGAACTGGACACACCTTTTTGCATTAATTAAAAAAGAGGCTTATTTAACATTCGAAGAATAAGTTTATTTCGAAGTGTAGAACATATTACACATAAGATAGTAGCCACGGTACATAGATTTACTCATTTTTTGAAGCCCCAACATTTATAGATGCAGAATAACTAATTTCTGCAGGAGATTTTACAGTCGTCGCTGGTTCCACCGAGTTATTGTTACATAAGGTTTCGCCGCATTTCTGAGCATCACCCTTAATACCGCCATGAGATTTACTTATTCGCTTCCAGACTGTATTAAAAACCGTTTCATTTGTGCATCCTTTATCTAGAGTTCCATCTACAAAACAAAATTTTCTTTAATCGTTAACAGGTTGATTTGAAAGTTTTACCGTTGTATCGAATGTCGACGCACATGTCAAAGTTTGGTGGACATCTTAGCTTGATTTGTTTTACACACGATAAAGTGCATGTATAGCATGACGTTGTCTTATTGTTACACAAGTTTTCGTAGCATTTATGAGCACTACCAGCGAAACCATTATAAACGTCACTTAAGTGCTGAGCATTATCACTCGTAGCATTAGAAACCTGACTCACTAGGTTCCATAACGTTTGGTACTGGTTTTCGTTTGAGCATCCTTTAAAAACTCTTCCATCTGTAAGATAAAATGTCTTTAAATGTTAAGACGCTAATTGGTAAGGTTACCCTTGTATCGAATATCGATACACATATCGTTCTCTGGTTCGCATTTTTTCGTCGTTTCGTCAGTACATAGGTAATCACATGAGTAACATGTTAGTTCCTTAACTTTTGCGGGTTTCCTATTACACAAATTTTCATGACATTTAATAACATCACCTTTAATACCGTCATGAGAATCACTGTATCTTTTCCAAGTGGTTTTGTACTTGTATTCATTTGCACATCCTTTATCCATTCGTCCATCTGTTAAGTCAAAAGTTCTCAAGTATTCAAAGTATGACTCGAAAATTCTCACCGTTGTATCGAACATCGACACACATGTCGTCATCCCATTCACACTTCTGCTCCTCTTCTTTGTTACAGTACTGATTGCATAAATAGCATGTCAGGTTACCCTCCTTTGTTCGATTATTACACAAATTTTCACGGCATTTAATAACATCACCGTCATTACCGCCATGAGAATCACTGTGTCTCTTCCAAGTTGTTTCGTACTTGTATTCGTTTGCACATCCTTTATCCCTTTGTCCATCTGTTAAGTCAAAGTTTCTTTAAATATCCAAATTGTGACTTGAAAATTCTTACCGTTGTATCGAACATCGACACACATGTCGTCATCCCATCTACACTTCTGCTCATTTTGTTTTCCACAGTAGTGATTGCATGAATAGCATGTCAGATTACCCTCTATTGTGCCATTATTGCACAAATTTTCGTAGCATTTAACAGGATCACTTTTATTACCGCCATGAGAATCACTCCATTTATTCCCGTTTTTTTCAAACTTCCATTGGTTTGCGCATGCCTTATCCATTTGTCCATCTGTTAAGTAGAAGTTTCTTTAAATGTTAAAACTTGAGAATTCGTACCGTTATATCGAACATCCACGCACATATCGTACTGCCGTTCACATTTCTGCTCCTTTTGTGTTTCACAGTTGTGATTGCATGAATAGCATGTCAGGTTACCCTCTATTGTGCCATTATTGCACAAATTTTCGTAGCATGTAACAGGGTCACCTTTATTACCGCCATGAGAATCACTCCATCTATTTCCGGTTTTTTCAAACTTCCATTTGTTTGCGCATGCCTTATCCATTTCCCCATCTGTTAAGTATAAGTTTCTTTAGATGTTAAAACTTGAAAATTCCTACCGTTATATCGAACATCGACGCATATATCGTACTGCCGTTCACATTTCTGCTCTGTTTGTTTTTCACAATTGTGATTGCATGTATAGCATGTCAGGTTACCCTCTATTGTACCATTATTGCACAAATTTTCGTAGCATTTAACAGGGTCATCTTTATTACCACCATGAGAATCACCCCATTTATTCCCGTTTTTTTGAAACTTCCATTCGTTTGCGCATGCCTTATCCATTTGTCCATCTGTTAAGTAGAAGTTTCTTTAGATGTTAAAACTTGAAAATTCATACCGTTATATCGAACATCGACGCATATATCGTACTGCCGTTCACATTTCTGCTCCTTTTGTGTTTCACAGTTGTGATTGCATGAATAGCATGTCAGGTTACCCTCTATTGTGCCATTATTGCACAAATTTTCGTAGCATTTAACAGGATCACCTTTATTACCACCGTGAGAGTCACTCCATTTCTTCCAGACATTTTGATAACGCTTTTCGTTGGCGCAGCCTTTATCCATACTTCCATCTATAAAGTAAAAGTTGTGTTTGAAGGTAAAACTGTGGATAGAAAACTCTTACCGTTATATCGTGCATCCACGCACATATCGTACTCTGGATCACATTTCTCTTGTGTTTGTTTTGCACACTGATGGCTGCATTTATAGCACGTTAATTCCTTCGTTTCTGCGGAAGGAGTACCTGAGGACGTAAAAGACTCATTGGGAAACTGTTTGTTACAAAATTGGATTGTGCTATTCAAGGAGAAATTTGCTTTTGAGTTCAAACGAGAAATTGATAACGTTACAAAGTTACAGAGAGAACTTGCTTTGTGAGTTAAGATTTTGGCCAGAATTTTGAATTTACGGAAGACGAACTAAGCTATCATACCTGCTAAGAAGCAAAGAAAGGAGTGTACACCAATGTAAAGAGTTAATGTTTTCATGGTGAAGACATCAAACACAATGCAACAAAATTACTAGTTGCAAGGTATATATACACCTAGACACGTACACGTGTCTCATGCATAATTTTTACTTGATAAAATACTCACGTATCATTGTAATGATCGCGTTATCGTAGTGATAACACAGTCCTGCGAAATATAACTTTTAATTTCCCTTTAAATAATATTGTTTTTTTTAGGTATTTATGTATGCCGAATTAAAATATAACTCTAGCTTTTTTGTAGCACATCGAGATTTATTTTTATGTAGGCCTAAATATTCATAGTTTCTCAAACAATTTTTATGAAAAAATAAAATATAAAGAATATAAAATTGAATGTTTATTTATTAAATGAACTAAATTAGTTATAAACAAGACTTAAAAAAACAAATAAATCAAGAAGCTTCTTTTTTTCTTTCTTCAAAGCTCTGATTTAAGCGTTTTCTCTTGTATTCACGATAGGATATGTTATTGCTGTTACATTTTTCGCATTATATCATTTTATATTTGAACAGCAAAAGTAACAATCGTCTCTATGATTTTATGGCTCCATCCAAATCATTGGTGTCAGCAAACTTATCTGAAGAATTAACCCATTTCCGAGAAGACATTAGTAATTTTTGTTTAAATTCAGGGTAGTAAGCGCATAGTCGACACAAATAACTCTTACTAAGCTGAACACGAAATGAAATATCAACACCATTATCCATACATATTATTACCACAAAATCTAGAAGTTAATTTTTATAGTACTAAGAACAAAACTGAAAAAAATATTTTTTGCAGAAACTGTACGTGATAGAAATTTTTGCAATTTTTTTTATACATGAGTATCTAAGACCTACCGAAATTACTACTTGATTTTGTTGGGGGAAAACCATCGCAGGCCTGTGTAATTCAACTCATATATGAAAACATATATGAAAACATCGTAAGCAGCCCCTGACTACATTTATTTACTTTCTCCTAATGTCGATGTGTATATTTTTCTCAAAATTTCAGTTTTGTACTTTCGGGATAACGTCCCGATTTATTTCTCATTTTGCCTTTAGTGAAACTACAGAAACAGAAAAATAACAAATGAACACTAACATTACATACAATCGTGGCGGTAATCATCAGTAGAAAATATATGTATACTTTCAAAAATGTGTAAAGATTGAAGAATTAAAATTGATATATTTTATAGTGAACGATAGCATTAAACAGGTCAAACGGTTGTATGATGACTATGACTATAAAAATAACTCTACTGTGATTTTTTCGTAAACTGATTCATTGCTAAAAAGTTTCAAGACAATTGGAATAACGCGGAAAATTGTGACTGTAATGCCTTAAGAAGAAGTCATTCAAAACGTATCTGTTTCATTTAAAAAACTAAGTTACGTGTTACGCCTTAAAACAACACTATATAGTTAAAAAGAATTTTAGAATATAGAGCTTCATAGAGCCGTAAAACAACAAGCTGATAACTAACGGGGAAAATGGCCTCTCAGCAATAATAGCAACTTCAAATGTTTATGTTTAAATCGGAGGAATATCATGTAGAAATTAGTTTGATTTGAATCAGTTTGTCGCCACAAAACAGAGGACTGAAATTATTAATGAAACCACAATCGAAAAAAATGTTGTGAATATTATTATTATTATTATTCTTATTTAATCATTATTAAATAAAGACGTGCATATTTTCTGCTGACTCGTTCTTTTCTATGAAACTTATTTTATCTACCGAAAAATAGATATGCCACCAGCTTGTTTTCAGCAATTTCACAACGTAGCCACGCCAGCTCTAATACGATTGCGTACTATGTTCGTAAGCAACAGGGCGGGTTAAACAATAAACAAATATAGTAATAATAAACAAAATCGTGATATATTTGTAGACAATGAGTACAGGAGATGGAATAGATTACTATACTTCGTTAGCTTACGCTTGGGAAATAAACATCAAGGGTGTTGGTGTTCATGCAAATACACAATGCAAGAATACCAATTGACTGATTGATAGCGACCGCTGGTGGCAAAATAAGAAGTGAGATTGTTGTTCAGGAGATGTGATCAGTTGAAGATTTGTGCGTGGGAATGCGTACGTTGCCCTACTACTCAGTTAGATAATGATGAGTGTTCGCATGAGAAGACGTTAGCCCAGGCAAAGGTGTACCTGCAGCGGTTCGAAAGCTAAAGGAGTTCCACCAAAATCGAATAGTATAAACTACTTTACAGTACTTTCTTATAACATTGTAGAACTACACGTTTTAAAACGAGTTATCGAAATAGAAAAATTGAAGTACATTTTTAATATTTTTTAGCCATTAGGTTCAGGTGCAATTACAGCAATTTGAGCTTATTTAGGGTATTTATTGAAAGGTCACATTTTTATATTCGATTTATTTTCAAGATTGGCAACTATATATTATTATGAGAGGAAGAAGGTGTTTGCAGTAAAATTCTATTTAAAAAAAAGGTATTCGGACAAAATAAAAAGAAAAAAATACTAGTTTTCTATATACATATCGTTATAATTCTTCATACAAGTGATGTGTCGGCAGAAACGCATACATTCTTACTTGCCGCAGTATTATTTAAAATTCTTACAAGTGCTTCTTTGGAATTTTATCCCTATTTCGGAAACCAGAGTTTCAAACATTTTTAAAAGCTGCAGTAATTGTATCTCATGTAAAAAAGACAACAAATAAAAAATACTATATTGTAATAATTTCAGTGGATAAATATATCCAACATGTATTAATTTAACCAAAATATTATTTAATTTTGGAGAAATAAGTTTATTTTAAAGTGCAAAAGACACACGGCATGGATGTCATAACATAGTATATAGATTTACCCAATTTTTATACCCTCAACATTTACAAAGGCAGAAAAAAAAATGTGCTTAATTTTTAGCCCTAGCTTATGAGTTGTTAATCTGATTATTGCATAAGTTTTCATAGCATTTATGAGCATCGCCATTATTGCCATTATGAGAATCACTCCATGACTTCCAGGTTGTTTGATAATCTTTTTCGTTGGTACATTCTTTATCCATATCTCCATCTATAAAGTAAAAATTATTTTGAATGGGATAACCATGGTTTGAAAGTTTACCGTTATACAAAACTTCAACGCACATATCGTACTGAGGTTCACACTTCCTCTCCGTTGGTTTGTCACACTTGTGATTACATGAATAGCATGTCAGGTCATGTTTCGTTGTTTTGTTATTGCACAAATTTTCATAGCATTTAATAGGATCACCTTTATTACCATCATGAGAATCACTCCACTGCTTCCAAGTTGTTTGAAAATCTTTTTCGTTGGCGCATCCTTTATCTATATGTCCATCTGTAATGTCAAATTATTTTGAAATTTGAAACCTTGGTTGTAATGTTCACCGTTATATCGAGCGTCAACGCACATGTCGTCCTGTGGGTTGCACTTCTGTTCCGTCTCGTTGTCACAAAAATGGTTGCATGAATAGCATGTCAGTTCGCCAGGCTTCACTGTGGAAGAAGAACTATCGTCGGATGGGGAAGATTCTGTAGGAAAATTCTTTGGTGTAAAATCATAGATTGTGAAGGATTAACAGAACCTGAGAGAGATTGGCATTCTGACCCAAAATGAGAAACTAGTATTTTCAATGCGGCACACAGAAACCTCTTGCGAAAAACACATGTTTCACCCTGTAAAATAAGAATTAACCTTAGCTGATCTTCTTGAAACTTTTGCGTATAGATTACATGATTAGGGACGGAAGCAGAACCTTTTACAGAGAAAGCTGCGCCTACATAGACGCAGCTAAATATTAAATTTTGAGTAAAAAGGAGCAAGAAATTTACACACAAATAAATTGTTAATGTTTTCATTGTGAAGACATGAAATACACTGCAGTAAAATTACTGGTAGTCGTATATATACTGTTTGCATGTAATGGTAACCTACTCAATAAGAATGCTATCCTTTTCAACATTAGCCTTATCGTACTGACGTAGACCATTAATTCATTGTACAGAATATACGGCCTCTCTGGAAAATGGCGGATTAACCCTTCAGTACGTTATACACGGGGGTTTCGGGAGTCCAAAAAAAATAATAAAAAAATTCTTTATGATGTACATTACGAAAAAAAAGTAATTTTATAAAAGTAAAATTGGTAACAGTACACACCCCTAATGCGTGAATACGTCCAGCTTACTTTCTGGTTTCTTAGTAACGATGGTGACTGAAATCCACCTTCGCTTTATATCAGGCAAACATTGTTGTCAAATGGCATTTTATCAAATTATTACAAAAACAACACAGCCATATCTTTGTTCAATCTAACTGAAATTGTATTAAACATGGTCATGGGCGAGAACAATATTAACTAAAAGTTTTATTACTAGTTATTGTGATAATGAATGAGCTGTTTAGTTGTTGAACGTAGCAAAAGAACCAATTTTAAAATCATTATAACTCCACCAAAATGTGAGAAGGATTTTTTTTACTATTTTTCCCAGACTCACCAGTTGATTGTTAAGAGCGTAGCGGAGAGTTAATCCGACATTTTCCAGACACCTGGTATAACTGCACAGAACATAAACAAAATAAATAAATTTACATATGAAGTGTAAAATAGAGACGAACTTTTTCATTCAAATTCCACATAAAAATCGTCTTGAGTAGAAAAAGTACTATACATAGTGTAAGATGAATGTAAAAAGTCAGTTAACTCAGAACGATGAATGTCAGACGTTTCAGGAACAATTTCTTGATGTATTTGTAGTTAATTTTCTCCAGAGTTGGCATCGAGCGTAATCAAGTTGTTGAGATTTGGTAATAGGATTCTTTTTATTTAGATCATATTTTTCTGGTATAATTGATAGAGAAAACAAGAAGAACGAAACTGACAATTAAATGTTAATTGCCATGGTCAAAGAGCGTAAACTATTTATAAATTATGTCGTATACCTTTCTAAAACTATACGTTTTAATATAGTTTATCAAAGTAGAAAAGTGCACCACTTTTTTAGTTACTTTTTTTTATTAAGGAAGTTGAGTCATGCATTTATATTTATTTATACTTATTTGTTATCGCTTACGTTTCTCTCATTAATTTTATCTCCAAGGTCGAAAACTGTATTATTATTATCAGAGGAGGAAAGTGCTGTTTTTTGTAAAAATAAAATTATTTGATCAAGTGGGTGTTGTAACTATTACACCCAATAATAAGTTTTATTTTTTTTTGGAGATTTAATGGTGCAAGATCTGGTTGACCGAGCTTCACTCGGCTCGTTTGGTAGTATTAGATCAGATTAGGACAGATAAATATGCGTATAGTATGCATTTTGAAGTAGACGCGCTAATTAAAAATACACATTAAAAAAGAAATTCCATAAGCAGTCTTTGTTTTAAACAGTGATAAGTGACATGTAGAGATTAAAGAACAGAAAACTGGAATTATTGTTTGACATTTATTACAATCTCATTTGTTACCCAAGTTTTCTCTCTGTCGTTCTTTTTTTTTTCCTAGTTCTCTCTCTCGACTCTAGAAAAAGGTCACAACTATATTCTTACTGCCAGAAGAGTTTCGCCTCTGGTGTGGTTATCATACTGAGTTACCGTGCTCTTTTGTGTTATTCCTAATTTCTCAATCTCAACCCTGCTCCCGAAGATGCCACTTACGAAAGTGTGCGAAACGTTGAGCCCAAAAACTCAAATAACACGGTCCCATCCCGGAAAACGATCACACATTGACTCCGATCGTGAAACCTCTGAAATGAATGCTTGACAAAATAATCTCAATTCAACGCACTTTCGTGTGCCTTTTATCCGCTCACTCTTTAGTTTTCGGTAAATTTTCTCACCTCAGAAGGTGAATTTTAACGTCCTCTATACAGTGGAGTATGTTTCGGTACGTACAATTGAAGATAAAAAGGTACGTCAAACGTACTGTCAGACTGTCACCCAAACTTCTCTTATAAAACAATCTCGTGTTCGTGTAGTGTCATCTGAAGTTGCCTAGCAACAAATATAATTCACTGCCTGAAAATTGCTGAAAATGCATGAAGCTGTAATTTTCAGAAGTTAAAACTATGATCAATCGATTTTTTGACCCAAAAAACCCCTAACCTGTAAATTTCATCGAAATCGTTAGAGCCGTTTTCGAGAAACCCATTATATATATATATATATAAATATATATATACAAACTTTGCTCATTTAATAGTATTAGATACATAGACGCCAACTACGTGCAAAGCGTTAATGAATAATTTACATCGAGCGAGTTGTGAATCGGACTTGTCAAAAAAATATGCCGCTCTCCACAAACTTTTGCCAGATATTTGAACTGAAACGTCATTAGTGTCATTATAAATTTTAATGTGTCGTTCAATTAAATAAACCAAAAAATTGTCTATAAACCGTGTTTCCACATTTTTTGGAACATCAAAATGATGGTAGTCTAACTTCTAAATCACACCATGAAGACGTGGACTACTTAAAGGTCAGCTGTATTTTTATTTGGGCTAGAATTATCTGTGAGTAATTTTCGTGGAAAACTGAAAGTATTTGTCAATTTACAAGAGAGATAGTTTATAACCATTTTCAAGGCTCTTTTATAAGCTTTGTGCAAAATGAAAACTCAAACAAATCATTTCAGTGTGATTAAGTGAAGTTACATTTTGTCGAATTAATTCAATAGCTGTAAATTTTGAAGAGTGGGCACAAATAACAATTACTGGAGGGATTACTCTAAAATCAGGTGAATTTTATTTCTTCAAGATTTTAATGGGATTGCCGACTGACATAGGATTTCAGAAAAGAAAAGAATTTGAAAAAAAAACAGTGAACGAGAGTCTATGTAACATTCCATAACTGAGACATAACATATAAATTCTCAACAGATGTGCCGAACAGATATGTGATGTAATTTGTGTTTCTACTACTAATTCAGATGTTACTGAACAGATGTCCACAATTTTCTATTTAAGAAAGTACCAGTTCGAAATGATCAAACAATATATACCTAACATTCTTTAAACAATGCTTTACAGAAAAAAAAAACTATTTCATGTCTTTAATTTCTCATATTAGTTTTTCACCAATTGGCACACTGAGATAAAAATGATGATTCATTTGTTGAATTCATTGTCTGTAGATGGAATGAACGACCTGTAGAACATATTTTCAGTAAAAAAATTAAAACAATCTATTTCTTACTGACTCGAATTTACACGACTAATTATTACAGCGATTATGTACAAAATAAGTCGGGCGCAACTTCACTGGGTTTTCTCGAGACTCGTTGGACTCAATTCGACTCAATAACAATCGTTCCCGATGGTGGCCTCTATTTAAACACTATACGTTCCTCTCAATGGTTCGAGAACGCCGCTTCGAGGGTTTTCTAGGTTGCCCATCGCGACTTCCGCTTCCAGGGTTTTCGTCAGCTAACGCCGCGCCGTATTGACTGTTATTATCAAAGTTCCAGAGATTCAACCTGATCAACAACGTTTCCATCAACTGTTGGTCTTCCAGTCGACTTTTCCTTGAATACACTCCCGTTGCGTTGAATCTGTCCACAACGTGTTAAACATGATGTTGCAGTGCCGTGTTTTCAATTATCTTCTTTGGAAATTTTAAACGAAATTATTCTTTTCTCTAATAAACTTATTTTCGTCTACACTCCACATTTTTTCGTAATCCTTGAAGCTCGAGCTCCAATAGGACTCAAATAGATAAACGTCACAATTGATACATTGATCTACATAGTGTATAATAGTGGCAAATTTCAAATGAAGCGGCACATAAACAAATGAATTTCATAAACCACTAGTGTAAATTATTTATTAGCAACCTCTATGTTCCAATTGGAGCTGATCCACAGGTCAGTAGGAAGACAGCTGTTATATTCCTTGGTATGTATGTACATATTTCAAGAGACGTATTAAGATTTAAAATCTGTTTTAAACCAAAAATACAGGAATCCTTGGATTTTTCTCTATAAATCTCCAGCCACGATGTCTACAGTTGTTATTGTTCGAAACTGGCCTGCCCCTGCATAATTTAATCTCTTCTCGATTTGTCTGAGACGCCTGCTTTTTCCTCTATCACTGTTAAACCAAAGAAGCAGAAAGTCTCCAGTTTGGTTTCCTAGTGTACAAAAAGGTATAACCTTTTTTTATGAATTAGTGATTATCATCCTTCAGAAGGCAAAGAATAACGCTTGGTTATAAAATTTTTATTTGAGAGTATTTCCCCATAAATATACAATTCACGATCTTTCAAAATTTTATTTGAAGAAAAACATGTCGTTGCTGCAAAAATAATTTTTCAAAAAAAATCGTCACCAATTCAAAATTCCAGTGAAATGTATTTTTTATATATTTAGACGAGAAGTGGATTTACCAGAATGGATCTTCCATTCATCGCTGGGTACACGTAATCGATTTGAAAAGTAACCCAATCAAAATTACCAGTAAAGATTCGAGAATTACCATTTTCCACGCGGGGTGTCTTTTTGGCTTTTTAGAGGGTTGTGATTTTTTGCTAAATTCAAAAAATAATGACAGGGATTACCACAAAATAATGAACGCAGCTCACTCAGAATAATAATCGTTCTCGATGGTGGCTTCTATTTAAAATTATACGTTCCTCTGGATGGATCGCGAACCCGCTTCGAGGTTTTTCTAGACCCCGCAATCGAGACTTCCGCTAACCCGCCCCAGGCTTGTCTTTATGCGAACACCGCCGGGCCACCGTCACCGATGATGAGTCACCCATCATCGCCGCACATACTAGAAAGCTCTCGACGGCCCATATGCGTCGTACCAGGGCGGCGTATGGGTTTATTTCGTAGTAATATTATTATGGGTATATTAAAAGT